TCACAAACGCTGTCATATTTAGTGCTTTCTTTCCACATGCAGTTCTTGAAATATTTTAATGAGAATTCAGCTTTTGTTTAAAAAATGAGTTTCAACCCCCACATTTGCATTGAAAAACACCAAATCCTGACCCAAATGCACTCCCAGTAGTTCAAAAGACAGAGGCGTGCTACAAGCACTGGCTTTTCCAGCAATGTCCATGCCCTGATGCCTGCCAGTCCTGCAGCTCCAGAACAGCACATCTGCAGGGGTGCATGCCCACGGGCAGCGCCTACACTGCGCAGCAGACTGCTCTGAAGAGTGCTTCTCAGGGCCAGATCTCAGCACCTGAACTACAAGCACAAACAAAGCCATGTATTTTCAGAGGGAGGACTGGAGGACGGGCTCTTCAGCATTCTGTTCAGTAAAAGATCTGGAGTAGGAGCTGCTTCCTGAGTTCAGTAGAGATGGAGCATGGCTGATGGCAGAGGGACTGAGCTGCTTCCAAGCTACTGGCAAGCTTTAGTTCCTTCTGTATGGCACTGCAGCAGCAGCCCATAGCACAGTGCCCAGAAATCAGCATCCAGAAAGGAAGCCCTCCAGGCACTTGGAGAAATATTACCTAAAATCACGGGGCATCGTGAAACCCTAGCACTAATGCTATCCACCAATGAGCAATTCATTTCAGCAGTTTGGAGAACCCAGCACTATCCCCCCCAGCACGCCGAGCTGCAGCGCGTACAGTTCACGACCGTGCTACAATGGTGGTTTTGTTTCCATCAGTTCTGCGCCGGGCTTGGTGTCACCAGCAAGCGTCCTCGGTCACAGCCCGCCTGGGCTGTGAATGCCACTCACAAAGCACAGGCTGAGCTGCCAGCTTGGGCAGAGCTCCCCAGCAGCAGATTGCAGCACTGCATACAAAGTGCATCTGGGAAAAGACCGCTCAATATTTTTTAAAAAGCATGAATTCCTACATTATGGGACCTTTCTGTTCTCCTTTTTCTTCTGCATCCTATTACCTCTTCATAGTCAGCTGCAGCAGTATGCATTCTTTCCTATACACAGCATCTCAATTAGTCAGCTCTTGTATCTGTGTTGTTGCCTTTTCTTCTGTCCTTTCACAATAACTCTTTAAGGGATGTTTTTCCATAAGAACATCATTTTTTGTTTAAGAGGGGTATTCCTAACCCTCTTGGGCCTTTTAGAAAAATCTTCTTAATTTGAAACATGGAGCCTTTAAAAAAAGAAAAATACAAAATTTGGGAGTGAAGTGAAATACCCTGAAATAGAACATAGCAGTACTACAGAATCCAGTGCTGGATCGAAGATAGCTCCTGCCCTGCCAAAAACTGAGATATGTTTAAGGTAGGAATTTGTGTAAGGTCTGCCATGGCATCACATGGAGCTGGAGCCTGGAGGAGCAGGCTTGTGCCAGCACATGGAGATGAAGGCAGCATGCTTGGGGTGTGCAGCAACACAAGTGTGTATCCACCTCCTTTGCCCAAGGAGTTGTGCTGTGTGTGAACACATCAGCCCCACTGAAGGCTCCATCTGGAGGTGGAGGACATTGTCCACACAGAAAGCTTTTAATTCAGCCTCTGGAACTGAGCTGGTGGTTCCTGCAGTAGTTTAGCTCCGCTTTGTTGGAGTTGCTCACAAGGCAGTGTTATTTCCAACAGGAATTTTTATATGCTTTTTTAAGATAGACAGAGCCATGGAATGAATACATGTAATTTAAGCATTAGTTTCCTCTAGGTTTGAATAGGTAGTTTTTGTTGCAAGAAACTAATAAACTGAAACAAATTATCCCCAACCCCCCAAGCACAGCAATGCAACTCCTGCACAGCCAGTTTCATTCCTGCTGTGGAGTAACTCTCCAAATTCTCTTCAATTCTTCAATTCTTGCTGAACAAATTTTGCTTAGAAATACCTCTTTGTGGATAAAGCATTTGTCTTACTACTAAATCTTCCATCCTACTATATGAAACCTCCTCAAAATTCTGCTTCTCATCAGGCAGTTTCTGACACTTCCTTGAGCATTTCCCCATCTCCACCGTATCTATTTTTAAACGCATCCTACACTGAGCAAAGTGAAGGTGCTTCCCAGGCACACTGCCACAGCCATGGCACATTTCCATACGAACATTTTGTTGTCAGCAGGGGTGTAGCACTTCCACTCCTGCTGATATGACTTTCACACATGTTGCATGTGCAAAATAGGAAATCCATAAGGAGTTTAGAACTGAGTTTTGCCTTATACTCATTCAAGAAGTACATTAGACTTTAAAAACAACAAACTACTTAATTCAACCATAAAACACCCGTGAATGTTTGCATGAAAGAGCCTCCAGAAGGCTACCAGTTCCTTCTCGTCCTGCTCCTGCAATAGCTACACCAGAAGGCGTTAACCTTGAATAGATCATATTTGCCAACTTGCAGCATAGCGCAGCGCTGCACAATTTAGTCTGCCCTTTATTACCACCACACCGGGCTGCTGCCTCTTGTCTCTGTGTCTGCACCTCACCAACACTCATCTCTTTTTCCTGGGCCTGGCATCCAATGACACTGCCACTGATTCCATCTTCCCACCCTCCAGCCCATCACAGATCTTACTGCACCCAAGCAGCTGAGAAGATGGAGGGGAACCAGACACAAAGGCAGCCTGAAAGCCACCTCAGCACTCAGGTGCCTCAGATAGCAGAATGTTTTCTCAATTTCTTGTCTATTACTAGTTTGGGGGATACCATGCTGTAGTGGGATTTTCTCCTTTCTACACGTAGTGACACAATGGCAAGGTGACAAATTACATGTGGAGATGGCAGCTCTTGCACTGAGCTAGCTGAAGGGCAGGCACTCACATCTGCTGATGGCTGCCGAGCAGCAAAGCAGAGCCAAAGTATGCATGGGCTCTGGGCAGCAGGACTGACATGGAGGCCCAGCTGGAGTTGTTCAGCTTTCATACAGCTTCTGTGAGCTCAGCACCAGGGCTGCCAGAGCAGGATGTTGTCCTGTCCCAAGGAGGGAGTTAAAGCCTACTAGCCTACAGTGCTACTGTGCTTTACAGGCAGGGCTCCTGACCTCCAGCTTGTGATCATTTCCCTCCCCCTGTTATTTACACAGAAGTTAAATTTGGACATCCTCTTGCTTGGCCATCAGAGCAGCTCGCTGCAGGAGGAAGCAGCCAGCCTGGCCTCTCACCTTTCCTTCTGCCTTGTTCCCAACCTGCCACATCCTCCTGCCTTCCTCCCACTGCTGTCCTTGCTCTCTGGAGGGGAAGCAGGAAGAACATAGGCCGGAAGAGCTGGGTGTTGCATTTCCCTCATATATCTCCCTGCTCCTTCCCAGGCTGTCCTATCTGCCCCCATCTCTCTGTACACAACCTGTGGCACAAAGGGGCAGACCTGCATCTCAACCCCTCCCTGGAGCAGGGTGAGGGGGTTCACTTGGCTGTGTAAATCAAAGTTTGGTAACATTTTGTGTATTTCTTCAAGTGGCAACTGCAACTATCAGCTTTCATCCAAAGAGAAGATGATTGTGGTCTTCCTCTGTCCACAGAAGGACTCTTCTATGAGTGCACAGGGGTATCCTCAAAGCTTAATAATTAAAATGAAAAGTTGAGAAGAAGTTTGGTCAGCATCACTTTTTAAAGTGATTTTGCAACTTGTAGAGTGTCTGCACCAATTTCTTTAATCTGCACCACTGTTTCCTTATTGCTGTGCTGGGACAATGCTCCTTCCAGCTGCCTGGGAGCATTTTGTAATTGCATTCAATTACAAATTGAAAAGAGAAGCACAAGGAGCAGTGCCCTTCCACAAGCTGACACCTCAACTAACAGGAAAGGCACAGCAAGTGTTCAGCAGCATCATCCCAAGAATGTATCTTAGGTGATTTGTGTATTACTGCAGTTGGGTTCTCTGGTGCACTGTTTCAGGGCTACACTGACACTTTAATACCCAAGGAATACCTGTGGTGAAACCCTCACACAACAGCTGCTCTTTGCCCTTGGAAGCCTGAAGCCCTCTGGGTTGTCCAGCAGGACTACGCTGGCCACAGAGCTCCCAGCAGCCTCACCCCCCTCCCACTCTTTCCAGGAAGCAGCCATCTGCTTATCGGTGGCAGGAGATGTCTATTTTCTACCCTAATTTCATTTCAAACCACAGATAGAGTGCCTGCCTCAGCACACTGTCCAAACCCACGGCTACATACAAGCACAGCCAGCTGGGAGAGCTGCACTCTCTGAAACAGCTTGCAGAAATGCAAGGAGAAAACCGAAGCCAAACACAGCAAAATTTGGAATAGCTGGATGCACTTATGGAATGCACTGTCCACTGCGAGCTGAGAACCACTTATAAAGCAGAGAGGAGGAAGCAAACTTAGCAAGCTCCAGCCAGCACTCCCTCAGCTCACAATTGACTACACAGAACTAGAAGGACAGAGCCCACATTGTCCCATGTTGCTGTCACAACACCAGACCCCTTAAAATCTAAGGGAAATGTCTATACAGCATGTGTGCTGCAAATACAAAATGTCAATAGATTTGTAATATTTCCAGACTTCTAAGTGACTTTTCCAAGCACAATCTTCAATCTTGGCCCCTAAATTATAGATAACCCAACTTTTTTTTTTTTTTTTTTTTTAGCTAAACCTCTGAACTCTCATCTTTAACTCTCATCTTAAAATCTTTATCACAGACATGTTTTAACTCCTTTCAATCAAACAATTGGTCATGAGAAGTGACAGCAGGCAGCTTTTCAAGCAGCCCAAACTCACACCACAAAACCACAAGTTCTAAACACAGATGTTCAACAGATCCTTGAAGTGCTTCAGCAGATCCGAGTGCTCAACCTGCTTGAATTCCGATCAATGGCGACTTTTTCTCTGGGGCTTAATCAGATAAAACACAAGCAAGCAAAAGGAGGAGCTGGGACAGGGCAGGGGCACAGGCTGGATTCGTTTGCTTTTAAAAAATAAAGTTGATTTCTCATTCACTTTTCTCACTGCAAATTTTCTGTCCCTTTCAGGTAACATCATTGGTTCTGGGATCTTTATATCACCGAAAGGAGTTTTGGAGCACACAGGCTCGGTAGGACTGGCTCTCATTATTTGGGTGCTCGGCGGTGGCGTCGCTGCCCTGGGATCTCTGTGTTATGCTGAGCTGGGAGTTACCATCCCCAAATCAGGAGGGGACTATTCCTACGTCACAGAGATCTTTGGTGGGTTAGCTGGGTAAGTACACACCTCCTCAGAGCCATTGGAATACACGCTTACATTCAGTACTTAGTGAGGAAAAGACAGCTGACTTAGAAGAAACAGAATATTCATAAATAATCTGCTTTTGCAAAGTCACCCCCTTCTGTTATCACTCAGAATACCAAATTGCCCCTTTGCAGAACTCCCAGTTCTGCCTTCAGACTTTCACTTTCCAACTCAATAAAAATCAATGACACATCCACATGACGTTCATGCGTGTAAGTGGTGAGTGGCAGCACAGAGTGTTTGAGGGATGCCAGTCTGGGGCCACTCCCTATAACCCAAAGCCTTCCGTTAACTATTTGTGCAGGAGGCAGCAAATATTTCTATGGTATTATGTTGCAAGACCTTCCTGCAGCAGAATTCAGAAAGTTGCTTGGAGAAGAAGTCTGCCCACAGAAGCGCCCCAGGCACAGGTGCCAGCTTGCAGCTCTGCTTCCTCAGCTGCAGCTTTACAGAGCAACCAGCCATGTCAATGCAGTGGAGGGATGCAGAAGAGAAATCAGGAAATGGTTTCTCTTCAAATATACAGCTCAGAGTAGTGTGGCTATGAGAAGAAGGAAGAAGTGAGAAGAGGTCATCTTTTATATTTTATTGTGCGTTTCTTTCAACAAGCAAAATTAGATTCCCCACCTGTACTCACAGCTTGGCAGAGGAGCACCAGAACCTTATTTCCACTTCATTAATTTGTGAGCAAAGAGTCCATGCAGTGTGTAGGTGCTTTGTTTGCAAAAAAATAAATACAATAACTGCATCTGAAATGGTTCTGCAGAAGGGATGCAGCTGCAGCACCTGCCTCTGGGGCAGGATGACAGCTCGGGGGCAACATGGCCCTTGGGTAATAGAAAACTCCAGGAACATTTTTGGAAGAACAGAATGAAGACCCAGAGGCAACGGGAAAGAGTCAAAACACAGCGGGGCTGCCCTCAGGGGTTATGGTCAGCCTCCCAGAGAGACTGTCCAGGGAGGAGGACAAGACAAGGGAGGACTATTTTCACAGCAGGCCTCAGCTGCTGCCAGGCTTTCTGCTTTTAGTTTCTTTTAGAAGTCTGGGTCTTAAATAGCACTTGTACATGAGCAAATGAGGTGCAGGGAAGCCTCCACATGTTGTGCTGCTGCTGGAGCAGCATGACTGAGCACAGTTCATTTACACACATATATACTTGCAGGTTTATACAGGTCATAAAAATAACTCTACCCAAGGTAGTAAATAAGCTTAATACATATTCCTGCAGAAGAAAACAAATACATCAAACTACATGGAAAACCCACTAGCGTATTTCTGATAAATACAACCAGTATAGCTTTCACCAGTGCTATTTGATAACTGAATATATGTTCTTACTATAAAATCACAATGTGATTGAAGTCAGCAAAGAACTCTACCCCAAAGCTTTGATAAATATTGATTCAAACTGCAAGTAAAACTTTCTGTATTTCTTTAGTGGTTGCCAAAATATAAAGTTTCCAAGCAAAGTAGGATAATATTAATAATGATTAAACTACCTCAAGCTTTCATAAGCCTACTCAGCTTCTCCTATGATCAGATGATGTGAATAACAGTTTCCATTTCAAACTGTTTTTCTTTGTTAATGACACCCAAGTACAGTACACTCTGACTTCATTTTCATTGGCTGCTCTGATTCCATATTTTATATTTAATGTGACATCATTTGGGGAGCACAAGCACATCCCAAATACGTATTTGAAAGCCTGGTTGCACAGGACTCTGTTGGAGATCCAAATCAATCCGTGCTGCTCACTCCTTTCCACAAGTAAGACAATTAGTATGCAGAAATGTCTGCATAAAATCCAGTTTTTGGTGCAGGAATGATTTGCACTTGCACATGAACGCCACACCTTTCTAAAAGCATAAAGTCCCACTGCAGATTGTCACTTATTCCAGTTTGTAAAATGAGGGAAAAAATATATCTAGAAACACTGTGTAACGCACATCCAGATTGATGGAAGGACAGCCATTAAGTTCAGTAGTCACTGCTCAGACTGAAGGCGCAGCACAGCAGAGGCCCTCAGATTGCACAGTGGCTCACAGCAGAGCAGGACTGGCTCAGAGATGCAAAGCAGGAGCTGCTCACCAGCCTGTGGCTGCACACAGCAGCTCGGATTTCCCATGCAAACTGAAGCACTCCAACTTCCTGAGCACCAACTGAAGAATCACAAGAACAGCTACATCTGCCTTTTTCTGTATATCCAGCTCTTGGGCCTTCTTCTAAAGACCTGGCAGCTTGTCAGTCAGCAGGGAGAGAAGACGGAACTTCTCAGGTTCTCAGAGTTCAGTAAATGAGTAATTGGTAAAGCTCATCAGAAAGGGTTCAGCCCCCACACCCACAGATGTGAGAACACAGTCCTGGGGAGCAATAATTCCACCTTCTCCATTTGAACAGCCTGGCCAGGTCACCCTGCAGGTATCATGGCATTTCCTGGCCCTGAAATGGGCTTTGTGCTCCCAGCACCTCTGCGTGCCCCCAGGGATTGCCCTGACAGAAGCATAGCCTGCAAGCCAGCTCCTCAGGCTGGGTGCACTTTGCTGGTGAGGGCATTCAGCAGGTTAGGGCTGAACCTCCTGCAGACAAAACTGTGGTACTTCATTACAGCAGATCTAAAAAAGATGTTTTTTGCTGGAGAAATCCTGTTCTTAATTCTTCCTGTACAATATTCAACTAAAAGGTGGTACTTGAAAAGCAGCAGTTACTTAGTGGGCCCAGAGGGTTGGGTAATGCATTAGGACCCATTCCTGCCCATTAGCCATAGCACACAGCACGTCCTGCCACCAGCACAGCACAAGGACAGACATCCCCAGACAGACGGACGTGCCATGCCAGCAGGCACCCGGGGTGAGCCACAAGAACAAGGCAAGGGCACAGCAGTGCTGCCCCAGCACCAATGTGATCTGAGCAACCAACAACAATAGCTCTTTCTCAGAATTAGGCTTTGTGCAAGATTTACCTAAAAATAAGACAACATAGGGCCTACATCTTAGTCAGGCTTCCTTTTATTTTAATACTATCTCTTCTCAGCCCCCTGTTTGACAGCATGACTTTGAGACCCTCTGCTAAAATTCTGCATTTAATTTAATTGGTGTTACCAGCCCTGCATGTATTTCGATTCAGCATGAAACAAATTGACTGTCAGAAATCTGTTGAATTATTCACAATCCCATTAAACCATATTCTATCAGCTACCAACTTTAATGCACTTTATATTGCAACATAGAAGCAAGTGCCAATTTCGCCTGAAATACTGTTTTCAGAGTCATTCTTCCCACTGAATATTTTTAACTGGATTCATTTCTCTGGTCTACACAAAGCACATGGGAGAAGACAGAAGCTGACAGGGAGGAACCAGGGGGTTCTGCCCAGAAAACCCATCACCTGTGTGGACGTGGCTCTGCCCAGCCAGCTGCAGGTAGTGCCCCAGGGGAACACACAGCTGGGCTTCATTCCAGGGCAATCACACCGACCTCACACTCACCCAGCACCCCCAGAACAATAGCACAAACGACCGTATTGGCCTTTAAGACTTATTGAGTCTCCAGTGAAGTAACACAGCAGGTCCCTGGGCTGTCCCCAATGCCCAGCTGGGTGAGCAGGATCTGTGGAGTGGCCCCAGCCCAGAAACATCACCTTCAGCGTAGCATGGCCAAGCCAGTTATTAGAGAAAAACACTCTGAGCCATGACAGAAAGCATTAAGAACAAAAAAGGAATCTCACACACATGCACTGGATTTTAACAAGCAGTAGTGATATTTGGGGAACATTTGCACCATGGCAATTTTTACCGAATTAACTCCCTGTAGTTAATAAGGAAAGGGAAGCATCAGATTGCCATATACTTCTCAGAAACAGCAAGGCAAGGCAAAGGAGGTATTGAGAAGCACTCACCACCATGGCCAAGGAGCACCAAGAGTAGTGCTAGCATCCAGGGCAGCTGCACCAGGAAGGACATCCCAGCCCTGCTGAATTTAAGGGGCTGGCAGCAGGCAGGCATGGATGCTGGGAGTAAGCAGCCCCCTGAAGATAGCAGCACAACATAATTACGCTGTTTTATTTGGAAATGTCATTTCTGACACTTGCTAAAGCAAAGAGTACCCAATGCTTGTAATCCTTACTCTTTGATACATTCCTAAACTGCATTTCACTTAGAAATGTTTAAATTGAAATCCAGATTGTGCTTGGGAACATGGGAAAGGGGATGAGGAGAAGCAAAAGTGGGTGACTGCTGGCTTTGAGTGAGATTACAGCACTTGACCCCAATGTCTTGGACATTTCCCAAAGTGCAGCACAGCTGATTGCATGTTACTCTCCTCCAGCATACTTAGCCCAGATTTCTTGTGCTTTTTCTTGTGTTCTCAGGTTTCTGCTGCTTTGGAGTGCAGTGCTTATCATGTACCCTACAAGTCTGGCTGTCATCTCGCTGACCTTCTCAAACTATGTCCTGCAGCCCGTGTTCCCTAACTGTATTCCCCCCTATAATGCTACTAGGATTCTCTCCATGGTGTGTTTACGTGAGTATTTGCTTCTCGTGCACACAAAGCTTGCCTTATTTTGCAAAGGATTACTCAGCAAGGCTGGGTTGATGGCCCCAGAACCCAAGAGGCAGGCAGGAGTGTGCCCTGCACAATGGGGTGGTCAGTCCCTCCCCGCCTGCCTGCAGAGAGCACAGCAGGCTGCAGCTCATCCTTGGGCAGCGGTGGCAGATGAGCTCATCCAGAGCAGGTTTCCCACTGTTGCCTGAAGCCCTCCTGATCTTTTAACATTCCCAAATGCAAGCATGTGGGAAGTGCATACCACCACTGGCTTTGCATTCATTACTTACAGAGCTGCTGGGACTGGAGCAGAGCCACAGGGAAAGAAGACATTCTCCATGTCCCATAAGGAGGCTGAAACCTCAGTTCAGGTAGCAGATTGAGCTCTGATCAGGCTCAGCCCTTCGAGCTGGAGAAGCCAGGCAGCAGAGTCCCCAGGAGGAGAGCTGTGATGGATGCTCCTCTGCAGCTGGGCATCTCATAGGGCAAGGCCAGTCCCCTCCTCTCTTTGATTATGGCCACACGGGAACTATGCAGCAGTCAATGTTTTACAGTGCTGTGTGTGTTCTTAAATAAACATAATTTCATTTCACTGAATTCAGTCTTTTGCTCTCCAGTACTCCTGACCTGGGTGAACAGCTCCAGCGTTCGATGGGCAACACGCATTCAGGATATATTTACAGCAGGAAAACTCTTAGCCTTGGCCCTTATCATTACTGTGGGCTTCATACAGATCTTTAAAGGTACTCTGTGAGACAGCTCCAACACGGGTATGGTACTGTTGCTACACTTGCTTCTCTCACCCTCCTTACAAAACAACCCAAAGGGATTGCAGGGCTGTGGAGCAGTCTCTGTGCTGCTGATTGAGCTCTGGTTGCTGCCAGTGCTCTCTGGGCTGGAAGGAGCTGGAGAATAACATCCCACACAGCAGTTGTGGGTCCCAGTGGAAAAGCATTTATCTTGGGTGCTGCTGAGGGATTTATTCCAGGCACAGGTGCACTGGAGGTTTATCCTCTGTTGACAACTGTAAATGGAGTCATGAAAATGATGGCACTACAGAGAAATGAGCTGTATCTTCCCTAAACGCATTCCTTTCTGTCCTGCATTGTTGGTTTTGATAAAGGAGAAGTGCATCTGAAGGTATTTTAGAGTGATTACAGAAAATTTATGAACTCGTTGCGTGGTCTTTAAATTTTAAAGTGCTCTGAGTGCAAACTGATAAGCAGTGCTGGGTCCAGTTCAGGAAAATGCCAAATTCATTTTGGGCACAGTCTGGTTTCCTACAAAAAGTCACTTGTAAGATTGAGAACTACAAAATGCCGCCTTCTTAAGATGTAAAAATGTCTGACTGAATCACCAACTTAATGGAAAGCAGAGAGCACAAAAGGCTCGTGACATTTTTGTCATGTCTATGATGAGTCATGCAAAGAAAGATGAAATAGGGCATTTAGAGAGCAGGACTATTTCTCAGTGATAACAGTCCCACAGTCTTGATAAATCTTCCAGCCCCATTAGATGTTTTCCCAGTACCTACTTTCCTACTAAACAAAACCAAGTGCTTGCAAAAGTAAACAGCACTAGGAACAGAGAGTTTACCCCATCACAGAGCCGTCCACCAGCAGTGTGAACACAAAGGCAGGTAGCAGTATGTAGCAGTACGTCGCAGCAGCGGTGCCAGCATTGTGGCAATTAGATGCAGAGCAATGCCTGTGCGTTCAGAGCCCACTGCCTCCCCAGGACACCCTGCCACAGAGAGCACCGCGAGTGCAATGCCAGCCCGAGCTGACTTGTGGAATATGAAGAGCACAAAGTCTCAAACCCAATCAAGCAATGAAAAATAGGAAAAAAAAAAACCAAAATTTCACCTATTTCCTGGTGTCTCTGGTGGGCAGCACTTCCCTCAGGGGAAGGCATAAACTCTTGCTTGTGCTTTCTGTGCAGGAAACTATGAAGAGCTGACACCGAGCAAAGCATTCAATTTTTGGATGACTCCATCTGTGGGGCATTTAGCATTAGCTTTCCTTCAAGGGTCGTTTGCATTTAGCGGCTGGAACTTCTTGAACTATGTAACAGAAGAATTGGTTGATCCCCGCAGGCAAGTATCCCTTTCCACATCATCCACATTTTTTTTGAAGTGCTGAGACATTCGAGCCATGTGATATCATAATTCATTTAATAAGCTGCAGCGATATCATGACATGTCCTATAGGACTGGTGTGGCTATAGGAGAGGGTTTTTGTTTGGAATGCAAACAGGCCCATTAACGAAACACCATGCTGAAATTAGGAACAGACTGTGCAAAGTATCAATTCAATTCAAATGGACAAAGCAATGTCATCATGGCCCTGACCAAACATACAGTGCATCCTTAGCAAAAAATTAGCCAATGAGACTCCACACGTATCTATAGGGAGAATCACTGTCTCTTGTTAGAAAAATGTTGGGTTCTACTGCAACCTTTTTCACCCAAAGGAGAGGTTATACAAAGACCTGAATGAGAAGACGGGAAGGCACCTGACCCACAGGCAGTACTCCCTGCCCTGCACCTGTACCACAGTGCAGCTGTAGGACCTACCCCTGGAGTGCCCCATGTCAGCTCTCCGGGGGCTGTGTGTGTGGGAAGGAGCTTTGAAATGACCAAGCACCAGCAGGCGGGGGGAGCCAGAGGGAGAACAATTCTACTTTAATAAAGCAAAGCTCAAACACTTCAAAATTTCTGAGATGATAAAGTGGAACGATGGATGCTGAGAGCAGCTCTTGGAGCATCAGCTATTTCTGGGCATGCCATGCACACAGCAGTTAAACAAGGAGGAGTTCAAGTGCTTGCACAGCCTGGCTGGGAGTGAATGAAAGCTGCTGTCTCACGAGCAGCCCTGTGCAGGCCTTCACACGAGTGAGTGGGAAAGTGCACGCCCAGAGACCTTGGCAGGAATAGAGAGAGATCAGCAATGTGCTCCCTCCAAAAACAGCAGCACTGTAATGGGTCACCACAATTTCAAACCTGAACAATGAAAAGTTATGACTTTCATAAGGCAAATATTGCCTCAGTTGAGAAATAAAAAGGAAAGGGAGGGAACAGGGTTAAATATTATTATTTTTGCAGCCTCTAAAGGGAAAATAGAATATAAAAAACTAATATGGTAACAAAAAAAAATCTTACAATTTTTACTAAATCCACTCAATCACAGATTAAAGTACTTTTCTTGTTTTTTAACTTTTTCCAAGTGCAACACAGAGACAGAAATGCACAACTGCATTAGATAGAGATTTGTTCAGCTGCCCACCTCTAAAGAGGGCTCTGAACTGGCAACTGAGTAAAATATTCACTCCTGGAAGGTGCCACAGCACTGTAGCAGATGAACCTACACAGCTGGTTGAGTGCCCCAGGTTGTTATTATGGTTTCGCTGTGTATGACTGTAAATTCTTATCTACCCTCCTAATTCTTTTATTAGGAACCTACCTCGTGCCATATTCATATCCATCCCATTGGTGACATTTGTGTATACGTTCACCAACATTGCATATTTCACTGCCATGTCACCCCAAGAGCTCTTGTCCTCCAACGCTGTGGCGGTAGTAAGTAAACCATTCCCTGGATGTCTAAAATACACTTTGATTTCAGTTCTGTGCTTTGCAGTGTATTTCAGTTTCTCTGCCTTCTGTTGCTTTAGACATTTGGTGAAAAGTTACTGGGCTATTTTTCCTGGGTTATGCCAGTCTCAGTGGCCCTATCTACATTTGGAGGAATAAATGGATACCTTTTTACCTCATCAAGGTTAGATGGAGTACAATTTTATGAACATTATCTAATTTGGGGAGGGGCTGTATTAATTTGATTTGCTAAAGAAATGCTAGCTAGACATTTTGGATGTTATAGCATGGTGAGATCATTGTTGGGCACATTGGATACATTCAGTTATGAACTGCTCTGTTTCAATCAGCAAATGTAATATTGAATCACAGAATCTCTTGCAAAATAATCCTTATGAGCTACTAAAAGCATCTGCAGATGTGGAATAACTCGCAGTAAGAGCCAAACACGGCTTTAGTATGGAACCAAAGCAATTTTACATCAATAATGTTCCAGTAGCTACAAGCTAAAGTATGCTGGAAAAGGATTTGCAGGGCCTGGTTCAGTTCCCATTTACAGGCATCATTCCCGCAATGAAGAAGCTCCTTCCAGGCAAGATGCTTTGTGTGCACACTGATGATAGCAGGACCAGAATCTTCAAAGTCTATTTGTATTAACTGACCTTTCTGAGCTCAATTTAAAAGTTATAAATTTTTTTTAGAGGAAACAATCCAACTCTGAAGTACCTTGGGAAAATTATTTATCAGCGCTTTCACAATTATCATGAGATACAAATTTGAATGCATGTGTAACACAGTATGCATGTAAAAGTGAAACCTTAAGGCACATGAAACCTTAACCAAAGCCCTTTTGACATTGGAAATGTTATCTGTGAGATTTTTGGTGCCTTAGTGACATATGGCTGATCATCTCACAGCTTCCCTGTGTACATGGATAAGCAGGCAGTGCTGCTGGCAGATGCTGCTGGCAGATTTCAGTCCTCATCCTCAGAGATAATTGGGCAACTTAGATCAGGTGATTTCACAGATGACATTAGCCATTAAAGGCCTCCTACATGGAATGATTTAGATGAAACAACTTACATCATGTTATTCACAAATCTCTAATGGAAGTGAGAACCAAGCTACGGTCTCCTCAGCTTCAAACCAGCAGCCAGAGAACAGCTTCCTTCTACTCCAAAAGCCACGAGGGCAGTTGAGATTAGGGACATTGTACAGCTAGATATTGAAAAAGCTTTTTTACATGCAGTGGATTAGTGCTCCTATTCTCATTTGCAGGTTATGTTTCTCTGGTGCCCGAGAAGGCCACTTGCCAAGCTTGCTTGCCATGATCCATGTGAAGTACTGCACACCCATCCCTGCCCTGCTTGTCTGTGTAAGTTCTGTTGTCCCTGCCCCATTGTTCTTTAACCTGCTCAGACCTGGGCAAGCTCTTAGAAATACTGATTCATGGAAAGGAGCGCTGCCCTTGCAGTTTGGAATGATTCCCTGGTATCTAACTCGAGCTGTAATTTAGGCCCATTATAACTTGTTGTCCCTACTGAGGAGATAGAGTGTCTTTGTCTGGAAACGAAGATATCTCATTTAAGAAAAAATGAGGTCTTTTCACCAATTTTGCTGGCTTTTTGCAAATATTTAACATGGAGGAAATCCTTGTGGTCTCTGCTAATCCCACTGTGGCAGGGGTAGTATAGACTCTGCTGCCAAAGCCAGAACAAGGCAAGACCCAGGGGGAGCACAAAGTGAGCCAAGCGTCCTGTGAAGTATGAGCTGCAGTGCTCTGAGGAGCTGTTGTTTGATATTTCTTTTCTGTGAAAAACAAGTCAGCCATTACAGCAGCCCTCCATGAAGTATCTGCTGAATTAATACATTAAGCAAACAAGAGGGCCACCCAAAAAAAGTAGAAAATGTTCTGAATGTTGGAAGGTTTTGGCTGGTTAGGCTGCTGTTTTCCTGCAGGAAGGTCTTTTTCTTTTTCTTAGACATAATGAATTTCCATGATACTAATGACTGATGGAAGTTGTTATTTGAAACAAATACACAGTTTTAGCAAGAATAGAGTTTATGAATATGTGATGAACAGAATATGTGATGTTTTTTGCTGTGGCAAAGAAGATATTAAAGAGCAAAATGACCCTCGGTGCTGCAGTCCCTGAGTGCACAGCCCAAGCAGGGGAATTCTCCCAAGGGCATCTGCTCAAAATGGCATCGAAGCCAACTGCAGATTTGCCACTGATTTCAAAACAATGAGGATTTGATGCAAGATGCACTAAGATGCACATTTGCATGACTCTCCTGGCTCTAACAGCAATTCTGGCACAATACACCCAGACATAATTTCATCAGATAAGCCTTCTGCACATTCCACTTGCTGGACAAAATACCTGCACAACTGAGGCTTATAGCATTCCCAGCGCTTAGTGCCTGACCACAAATATCTGGGTGCACTGCCTGTACAGGATCTGGGAGCAAACCCCACAGCCCATCTGCTCTGCTTTGAGCAAACAGAAGGCGCTGGCTCCATCTCGGCCTCATGCCAGGCAGCTGAACTCTGCTGATGCTGACAAAGCAGAACTTCTTTGTCCTTAGAAATTCATCAGCTCAACCAGCATACTGAGTTTCTGTGCTGTTTCACTGTGAAATAGCCATACCACGAGCAGGCTGCCTGCACCGAGCAGGCCTGATAAATCAGGTGTATGTCAGCCTCTCTCTCAGTCTGCTCCAAACATTTCCCTTAAATTATAGTGCAAATTACAGAACCAACACTGCATATCAATTCATCATTTGAAGGTACTTCAATGCAGCTCAGAGTATATCAAATGCTGCAATGAAATATTAATTCCTTAACAAATAGAAATGTAAAAATAATATAGCGTAGGCAGCTACAACAGCAAATGAGGTCAGACCTCAGGCAATCCTAATTAATACATCAAAAAAGAAAATACTTTTCTTTTTCAGTGAATTGCACCTAGTTTTTTCATGCAGAAAGCTTTCTTTGTACAGAGAGAAAGACTTTTTTAACATCACCAGAGAGACCTGTATTTTTACTAATCTTTCCAAAAATGAAAGGTCCAAGCTAAATGCAAAATAAACAGACTGGGTTTTTTGCAAGACAGTAAAGTGACAGGCTTTCCTGCCCACTGTGTGTCAGGCTGCCGTCAGGCATGGTAATCAGGGGAGGAAACACACACTCCTCTCAGCCCAGTACCACTCAGGAATTACACCATTTGGCGAGCAGCTCTGACACATTCATGTCACCTACACAAGAAACATCATCGCCCCAAGTGCCTTCAGTGCAAAACCTGCTAGTGGCAGATGTGTGTCTGCCAGCATGCATCTTCCAGAGGAAGGTAGGAAACGTTATGCCACACTGGTATAAAAACACTGCCCTATTTTAAATGAATTTCATAGTGAGAGAGCTCAACATGCTGAAATCACCCCCAACTCCACATAGCTTTGAGGATTTTAACAGAGGATGGAGAGTCCTAAGGATCATTTGATTGTGGTGGTGTGAAATTACTGGTGCCAGTGGTACAGAACTCCTCCCTCCCTAATAGCAAAATAGACCTTTGCTATTAAAACAGCTAACTAAGGAAAAAGAAGACATAAGCAAAAAGAGTGCCTGAAGTAACATGGAGCCAAATCCTGGAAGGTCTCTGAAGGGATCTGGACATTTCATTTCCCTCAGGCTTTGTCCACCAGGAAACAGTGTTTGCAGGACGAATATGCAATGTGAGGTGGGGTTCATGCCTAGGATACCAATGGGCAGGTGGGGCAGGATCTGAGAAGCAACCCCACGACCCCTGAACCAGCTCTCCTAACTTCAGGGAGCTATTTGGAAATAAAGTACAAACAACCAAATTACACATGTAAATTTCCACCATCTGTCTGCCCGTTTCCTAACATGAGTAATGCTCAAGAGATGATGTCAGTCATTTGCAGCATGAGCCATGGGCCACTGGGAGGAAAGGGCAAAGCTTTTATTCTATATAATTCATACAGGACACCTGCAATAAAGTAATGTACTGACCACAGAATATAAGCCAACAAGAAACCCCTCTTGTCTCATAATAGACAACTTTCTCTTTGCCAGAAGTCCTCATTGTAGGGCCCAAAAAGAAATTGGTGAAGTGCAGCCATTGAAAGCAGGTACAGAAGTGTCCAGCTCAGGCAGCACAGTAGGACCATAAGCAACAAGAGTTAAACTGCTTTTAGCTTTTTTGGCTTGTTTTTATTGCTTTTAAGCTACCTTGTTAGTAATAATTCACGTTAGATCACCTTTCTTTCTTTACAGTGTCTGGCCACTCTTATCATCATGCTTGTTGGAGACACGTACACACTAATCAACTATGTGTCATTTATTAACTACCTCTGCTATGGAGTGACAATTATAGGCCTGATTGTGTTACGCTGGAAGAAACCCAAAATCTTCAGACCTATTAAGGTGAAAATGTTAAAGCTAAATCTCTTGATTGTAATGCAAAAGGCATGGGAGGAACCACTGAAAACCAAGTGTCCTCCAGTTGTTTTTTTTTTTTCCTTTTGAAGATCAGTTCAATTTTAGATATAATGGTGAAGTTTCAGTCTCAAATCATGCCCCGAAGCACCACTAATGTAAAAACAGGATACAAAGGCTTCCAAAAACAAACTTGCTAGTTTGGGCAAGTGAGAATGGCAGAAGGATGGGGTCACAACCCATGAGGCTCTCAATGCCAGAGCACTTGTTGCCAGCCCAGCGCTGTCCTCACTCTGCAGTCATGCTCTGCTCTGCTCTCTTCCTCCAGGTGAACCTCCTCATTCCCATCACTTACCTGGCATTTTGGGCATTTCTGCTGGTCTTCAGCCTATACTCTGAGCCGGTTGTCTGTGGAGTCGGACTCATTATCATTTTAACTGGAGTGCCCGTGTTTTTTCTTGGAGTCTACTGGAGAAATAAACCAAAGTGTGTAAATAGGCTAATAGGTAAGCACTGCTGCAGTGGCTTGGTGCACTTTTTGGGCCCACTGCTCGTGGCCTGCAGGGCTCAGCCCCCCCAGTGCCGAGATCCCAGCAAGATCAACCACCGCTGGCATGCACAGCCTTCAGACCCCCATGCAAAACAGGCCAGGTGCTGCTTATGGATGGAATTACTTCAGTTTTAAATTAGAAGGAATGACAAGCCACCAGGCAGACAGGCACGTTGCAGGTGAGCCCTGGACAGGAGGTAACAGATGTATTTTTGTGGCTGTTTGTGTGGGTAACTGCTTTCTTCATCACTTGCCATATTCACTTCCACTTGTGCCCCTGTGCATCCCCCAGCTCACTCACCACAGCCTCAGCCACAAAGCAGATGCACAAGAGTATCACTTTAAGCACATAAAGACCAAACGAACCACCACAAAAAGAATAATAAATGACAGAACTCTGCCTGTCCCTCACCCCGCTCTCATCCCAGCAGCACTGCAGAATCCCTGCACGGCATGATGAATTATTTCTCACTCAAATAACAAGAAAGCCTTGCTTTGTCCCCTCACATCACAGTGCACATGTTGCTTGTGATTGGGCTGTGCTTGGCTTGCAGCTGTTCTGTGGTGAGGACTTTCCCTAAGCAGGAGCAGCTGCCTGCCTGGCTGCAGCCCAGCTCCCTCAGTGCGACCACTGGGCACTGGCGCTACCTCAGGGATGGCCCAGCAGGCCTCTGGGCAGCACGAAGGGCTCTTTGCAGCAAAGAGACATTCCTAAAGGCGCCTAATTTTAACTCACCTGCGCTTTGCAAACACTGATGTGTCACTCACTAGAGATAAAAGCAGCCAAAGGGAAGGCGGGCGGTGCGGAGGGGCCAACACCTCTGTGAGGAAGATGGCCGCCGGGTCACACAGTGCTCGAGCCACCGTGCCAACTGCAGCCGTGCTAACCGCAGCCTTGCTCCTTGCAGAGTCGGTGACGTGCTGGGGACAGAAGCTGTGTTTTGTGGTGTACCCCCAGGGCGGGGCGGCCGAGGAGCCTGCTGCCCACTGCCACCTGCCCACCAGCGACAAGTCCCCAAGGAAATAGCGGAGCGGCCTCTGCGGCCGAGGGGGCTTCTTGTTTACATGCCCATTTTTGCAAAAAGATTTTCTGGAATTAAAGAAAAAGAAAATTTTAGAGAATAGTGAGCTACACACTTTATGGCATCTGTAGCTTTTAGTTTTTCCCTAAGAAAAAAAGAAAAAAGAAAAAAAAAAAACAAATAAAATATGAAATAAGGCACTGGTTGTTATTTTTTTTTGGCAGCACACTCGCTCACCAGGGGAACGCGGCACAGCTACGGCTCTGAAATACTGATTCTAGCAGCCATAAGGGCCTGTTTGACACTGAGAGATTGGGGCACCTAAAAGCATTTCTAAAGCTCCCCATCACAAAACCAAAATGGTGAAAGCCAGGGGAGAGGAGACGTGGGGACAACCCTGCTGCTGCCTCGGCATAGGCACAGCCCAAAGGATCATTTCTCCCTAGGACAGCTGGTAGGGCACCCACACAGCCAGGGCTGCAAGGGACAGGGAAGCACGTGGGACAGGATCAAGCCTGGGTTATTGTACCAAAGAAGTGAGCTTGAGCATTCAGACATCATTTGATGTGATAAGACCTCAAGCATCTTCATTTTTGAAACATTTTTGCTTGGGCTCCTGCACAACAGGGAGATCTCGAAGGAGCCAGGAACAAAACCCAGTGCTACTCTTTGCTATGAGTCAGATGACACTCCTCAGTTTAACGGTGCTCAGAGAAGCAGCAAGACTACATCATTCTCACATCAGATGCTCTTTAGAAAGTGTTTTGCATATTTTATTTGCAGCAAACACTAAAAAAAAAAAATCTGGTTCATACATTCAATAAATTCACAGAGATCTGCTGCTGTAGCAATATGGCCACTTTCACACCAAAGAATCTTTTGAAAATGCAAAATGCAGGAATAGCTCTAAGCAACATTTTGAATAGCTCCTGTTCTTTTGTAACTTTTGAAAAATAAAAGCTATCACATTCAGTCGCCTTGGTAACAGCCACAGGAATTTAATTCTTAAAGCAGCTCTGTGTTAGTGGCCTTGGTAGAAAAATTAGGGGTTCATTAATCTCTTAGTTTGTCAGGTACCATACATTGTACAAAGATTGAAGAATAGACTCAAAATATGGGGTGAGTTCAAGGAAAGTGACTTTCCAATACAATGCATTATTTAGAAGTATTTTTTATCTTTAAATGTCTGTCCATGTCTGTCCAAGCCTAGAGATGATACACTGAAAAGAAATGCAGTTTACACCCTTCTCCTTCTATAAAGCTATTAATCGTAAGATGTTAAAATATATATTTAGTTAAAGAAAAACATGGCTTTGTGTGTACGTATACACACACATCTCAGGTACCAATAGAAATGTATGAAACCTACAACTGCTACCCAGGCAATCAAAGACTAAATTAAAGAAGCCACTGCCTCACAGTTGCTAACTAGCTTCAGCTCATCTTCCCTGACTGTATTTCAATGCTCTAAAACAATAAACATTTGCCCTTAGATCAGAAGGCTGAATTTAAAACAGGATTGGGTAGAGCTTATCTTTGAATTATATACCACTCTCCAAAAGCTGTTTCAAGATGTCTTATTTCATTTTTAGAAACAGCTTCATCTGTCCTCCCAACATGTATATTATTTACTTATTTATGTCTTTGCAAAAGTTACTTCCTAGTGCACACTATTTCTAGCCATAGAAATCAACATACGGAGCTTGGAAGACCAGTTCATATGCTGACTGAAATTTAGCAGTGTGCTCAGCTTTGTTCAGGTATGACTTTTTCAAAAAACGAAACAAAAATCCCAGAGAAGACGTAACTGCTATTACTTCTAAGCCCACTGAACAAAAGCAAAATCCCAAGAAAGCTGATACTACAAATACCTCAAGAACGTTGCATGATTCAATGCAGAAAAGCTAGCCCTTCCCAAAAGAAATGTTTTGTAATTTTGAAGTATTTGCTGTGGTGATACAACTCTTGCTGATTTTTGTTTCCTGCAGCATTTTGATGTCCCCTTTATTGATATGTAAATCATGATAACCTGTGCATTAGCTTTTCTGCTCTGAAGGAGAAACTCCCAAAGAACATCTCCACCTCAGCTGCAACAAGTGCACCTTCTCCAGGTCATTTTCTGCAACTAATTCATACAATTTTACCACCATCTCCATACAAAACAAATTCACCCTAGCTGAATTACACTAATAGGAACAGCAGCATTAAAATGAGTTTAAAGCTTTAAAAACCAACACATTTCTACACAAACCTGTATTTTACATACTATTCTGTTTATGTAACTGCATACATACACAAAGTATGAGAGGCTATAATGCAGAAAAATACTCTGCTGTTCATTCTTTTAGTGCTGGCAATACCATTTGGGAAATTTCACAGTAGTAATAGAGGTAATGCAAATACTTAGAAAAGTATCACCTTTAAGTTAGCTTTTGAGACTGAAGCTAGCAGGAGCTGTATTGGATTGATCTTATTGTATTATCACCATACAATTATCGCAGATCACATCGTCACTGTGCCACGCAGTGCACACAACAGTGGGAAAACAGCCTCCCAAGAAGGATGGCATCCAACAGGCAGCAGGAGCTGCAGGGGCACAGGCAGGAGAACACAGGACTAATGAGGCAGAGCTGCGTGGCACAGCTGCTCCTGCAGGCCCCACTGCTCTCAAATGTTTTCATGACCTTGGTATGGGAATTGGCTGTTTCCAGTTGACACCGGTACATCAGGCAAAAGACCTTGATCTCGGCAAGGTCAAGACAAAACACTCATATCAGTTCAGAGCTTTTACTCAACTCAGCAAGGATTCATGAGTCACTGTGTATTTAATATTCCATACACAAGCATATTAATTGGAAGTAACTTTACAAATATGTATTGAAAGATACACAAGCAATCTTTCATCAGCTGAGCTCAATGATTTGCTGTCCCACACAATTTTCAGAGGTCTTCAGGAAAGATTTTCTCATTTTTCATTCTCTAATCTGCAAATTCTGGGAACAAAATACATTTTCTTTTTAGGCTCTTTTGAGAGCCAAATGAATGACAAGACAGAAATTACTGAGCTTCTGAAGTATGCATCATAAATGAAAGCTTCATTAAAAAAAAAAAAAAAGTGAAGGGTAAAGCCTTGCTTGGAATTTGTCTTTTCCTAAATCTGAGTTCCAACTGCTTTGGCTCCTCGCTTGGGAACAGGCCCCTGTGTGGAGCAGGGACTGTCTCCTGTTACTAAAAGCAAAGCACCTTTTGTTTAATTTTAAAACTTCTCATTCCTCAACACTTCTCACTGGTGCTCTAACTTCAGCTATGCAAGAAGTTTTTGCATTTGGACAAACAAAAAAGGAAAATCCAAGGAAAAGGATTTGAAAGCAGGCAAGGGGCACTGTTTTTATTAGAGACCAAAAATAAATGTCTTATGAACTTGGGGTAAGAGATAGGAATAGAAAGGAAGGAAACTTGGCACATCAAAGCAGGAAATGTATGAAGTGCAAAAAAAGGGAAACTTCCACCACTCAATCCGGCTGAAGACTATTTAATCCCTGAAGCCAAGAACACAAGAGCCAGAATCTGAAATGGGAAGGGTGGCTTATTTAACAATTTGCTACGTTAACAGACATGAGATGAGGCATGCTACCTGGAAAGTTTGGGTCATGGACGGAGAGGCTGCTAAATCCTACTGCCTGCTCAGGAGATGAAGAGACGCTTCCTGTTCTTAAATAAGCAAAAGCAATTCTTCTCTCAAAAATCTGTTAAAAGAAATACATAAATTACTTAAGACTTTCCAAGCTAGCTCCTTGGTTTGTCACAAGACACATGCGTTGTGCTACAGAGGCTGTCAGCAAACACTGCTGCAAGTGCACGGGTATCATTTATTACTCTGTCTCCCTTTTATGAGCTCTATTCATTTCAGCCACGTTCACATCAATATTAGGGTTGTAGTATTACTGCTTGTGTCACTGTTATTGAAGCTGATTTAGCACTTCATGGTGAAGCAAAGCAATCACCCTTCTATGAGGTGAGGCACTGTCAGTCCTCTATATCAAGCTGTGCCCTCCTATTCTTCATGGTTATGGATAAACCCTAATGACTATGAAGTCTGTACAATTCTCTACTACACAGATATTTCCAAGTTTGTAGAGCAAACTTCTGCCAACACAAAAGAACTCAGCCTATGCCTTCTACTAAAAAAAAAACAACCACAGCAGAATAGAGCCAATGGTTCCCTCCAAAGACATAAGCAAACACTGGAGAGAGGAAGCATCAGCGAAACAAACACAGCCCCAGCAATTGGCAGTGAGGTGCTATATTTCAGGAACAGGGTTTTTTGTCTGTTTTTTCTCTGCAACAGAGTCATAAAGAATCATATACTCCACAGCTATGTTTTGTTATTTGGGGTATATGTATGTGTCTTTTAAAGACATCTGTATACAACAGGAAATTGTTATTGCTATTGGCAAGATTTCATGTGTACTTTCCAAAAAAACTGGTGCACATCTACAGCTTCAGATACCAGCAAGAAGTATACCAGCAAGAAGTATACCAGCAAGAAGCCAAGAAAAAAGAACCTCACACCAACTTCAGATCTTCACACCAAAGGCTCATAACTGACTCAACATATGGAGTCAGCAATGGGCAGTGCTAACAGGTTGGCAGCCTCAAGTGACAGTCAGAAATCCACAGTCTCCGGACACATTAAATTTTATTAAAAATTAAGAGATTGAAGCAAGAGCAAAGTATGATGATGCCCAGCATCTTACTTGTATTGTATCATTGTCCAGGAACCAGCAAACACAGGTAACCACGATGCCATACCTGAACCATACATCTGTACATACATTATGGCAAAATGTATTTCAGTGAATATATACAACATACACACACACACCAAAAAAAAAAAAAAAAAAAAAGGCAGAGAACAGAATAGAAAACAAGTACATTTAAGGGATGTTACAGAGTCATACACAGGCTGGAAAGTGTTGCAATTTCAAATAGAAATACACCCCGTGTTTTAATAGCAATAAGAGAGTAAGAGAGCACTTTAGTCGTGATGCTGCCTGTGAGTGGTTCTTCTTAGATCAGGAAGAGGCTTAAGTATTCCTCTCTATTCAGAGTTATTTTTAGGAAACTATTTTTTAGGGAGATTGGACAGTGGAGTTTTGTAGGGTTTTTTGGTGTTGTTTCTTTTCTTAAATCTTAAACACTTTTTCCCTTCTATGAAAATACTTAAAGAATGCAGAAAAGCATTATTAAAATATTTTTTTAAAAGATAAATTCATTAGCTCATTAGGTTACATAGTCATTGAAGTGCAATCATATTTTTCCACTGAGCAAAGAATGAAATTTTCTGTTCACACTTCAGCATAGTAGCACAATTTTTTTTTTAGTAAGTTCTGAATATAAGGAGGCAGCTTGCATGGAACAGAAGCTGGGTGAGCTTCACTGACAGTCAATTCTCTGCTTAATGCTTACAAGTGGTGGAGAAAGGAGGGGTAGACATATACTAAGGCAGACTCTGAGTTTTCCTTCACGTATCGACATTTCAACACATTTGTTTGTACCCACAGCACACATGTACACATTTCTTCTGCAAAACTGACTCTTGCCTCCAAGGAATGGACTAGGGGAGTTAGGAGAGAATATTCTATTGCAGAATACAAAACATAGGTGTTTACAAAAGCACCAGGCTTGTATGTCTCATTTATGCAAGGCTGTAAATTCCAGCAGTGATGGCTGTGAATATTTCTGTACACTTCAAGCATCAAATTTTCATTAACCTGGATTTTTGTCAGTTTCTAAATATAAATCCTTCTCACTGAAATTTCTGCTGAGTTACCAAATGGATCAGTACACAAAATATGCATTATATATGTAAGAAATTATGTTAAGTTACATCTTAAAAGAAAATACAGTTCAGGGTTGTTCCCAGAATATAGAGTAATTTGAAGTATATATTTCAACTCTAACATTTCAGCATATTTGAACCTCAAGAGCCTTACAATGGTGATAATTTAAGGCATAGTATGATCAAAATTATTTTTCTATAGTAATACATTTCTGTAAGAGAATTAAATATACACTTATTCTGAAGATCCTTCATATCATCACAATATTAACCCTGAAACAATCCTCCTCCCCACTAAGATTAGGCTTACTGTTTTACAAATAAAACTCCTAAGTATTTAAAGTTACCTCTAGGAAAAAAAGATGACACTAAAACCTGCAACCTTCGATGCAAGCAATCTGCCAGCATGATGACTACAGTACATGGCAAAGGTGGAATGCATTTAAAATGTTTATAAATGCTATGAAATTAACATCTCTTTCAAAGCTTCATTTTCCTTGATGAAATGAATTCTGATCACAAAAGCACTTGAGAAGAAATGAGTGAGTAGTACTTACTTAATGTAACCATAACTTGCTCATTACGCATTTTGCTACAACCCTTTCTATGCTCTTACAGACTTTGAATCTTCTGCCTCTGGAAAACACTCTATGAAACCAATTTGCAACTGAAGACAAAAAAGTAATTTCAAAGTCATTCTTTCACATTACATTTCAGTAAAGTGAAAGTCTTAATGCTTATTTTTTTAAAGCACTCCCAAAGGAAGTCCTAGTGGAAGATTCAGGACACATACAGTCCATTAAAAAACATCTTTGACACTTCAATGTAAACTGTTCACTGCAAAAGCCTGTGAGCTGTGGACAGCACACCCCACTTCTACAGACGCCCAAGTCCACCCCAGTTTTACAAGCTGAAGTTACCAGTTAATAACTTCAGGCAAGTTAAATTCCTACAGCATTAAACAGCATCAGAGCACTTGGATACTTACAGAGGAGCAGCTGAGATAACTTCTTCGTTAATTTCTGTATGTAGAATTCTAGTTTGTTACTGCCTCACCAGAGGGCTGAGACAGAGCTTCTAAAAGGGCAGGGGGGGAGCCTGGCCCACGTTGGTTCATGGCACCATCCTATCCTTTGCAACAGGGCCAGACTATCAGACCATAACCAGCTGTGATTCTGCACCAGGTCACTCCTGCTTAAGCAATATCACCTTTCTTTCAGGTAAATAACTTGCTTCCTTCTAATTGCACTCTAAAAAAAAAAAAAAACAACACAAAAAGGCACCAGTTTAAAGCAGTATACAATTCACACAGTGTCAGCTTTGAAACTGGCACTGGCCTACTTCAGTCCTTAATAGAAAGTAAAAGCAAATTCCTATAACTGTCTAGAAAAACAAGTTTCAAAAAGCTGCACCCAGGTAGCAGATTTACGAGCAAATTTGTGAAGTAGATTTTATTTCAAAATAAAGATCCCAACAGTTACCAAGTGCTCAGTGCTTCCTATTGCAGCCAGCCGTGAAGCCTCAGAAACCTTCAGAGCACAACCAAAGTGGTGTAAATCAAAGAAGTCCCTGAAATCAGAAGGGAGGAGAGGAAAAAGGGTAGGAAGACAGCAAGCGATTCTTCAACCTTTGCTACATCACTTTGAAAAGAGTAACATATGACAACATAAAAAATATTGTTGCAAACGGGGTTCAATGCATTCCACTTGTATTGAACATTGCTGATCTCTTACTACAAAGCCATAGCAGACAGGAATACTCTGCATACTATATACAGAAACTTTGGTTATAGTGGATGTTTCAATATCTATATGGCCATCAAAACATTTCTGAAGGGAGCAAAGGAAGCAAGCTACTTCTAGAAATAGGGAGCAACAAAGGATTTTATTTCCTCTCAAAAATTTTAATGATATTATTAAATTTTAGTTAAATAATGATGTCTAAAAGGACAATGTTATTTCTCGACTGGTACTCACAGTCACAACTGGTGCCTGCTCCAAGTTCCAACAGTGTTAATTTCTGTAAGACCACTTGAAAAAGTAAAGAAATACCAACTCCCTGAATGGAAAGTAAATAAAGCACAGAAGAAATAAACAGTGGAGATGCCTCCCAACTACAGTGACACATTCTTGCTCTCGTAGCCCCTGACATCACATACTGGCCTACTTCTGCCCCCACTGGAGTTTCAGGAATAGCAACAAAGAAAAACTTGTCCCATTTAGTCCTGCTGTACTCCCTGGGGATTAAAGCACACCAGTTTTGATGGACAAAGCTGAGAGCACAAACCACCTAAAATCAAAGTGCACAGTCATATAAACAATGAAGTTACAAAGTTACAAAGCTTCTACTAGCAAACAAGTAAAGACTCATCATCACTTGTACTGATTTCAGAGAGGGGAGCAGAGGACTCTAACATTGGCACTTCCACAGAATGGCAACAAGCCGCATGAATACCCAAAGGCTCCTCCCGATGGGAGCTAGGGCAACACCGGCTTTGTCCATCCACTTGGATATGAACATTCAAGGGGCTATCTGAATAAGCAGACTCCCACTTTTTTAAGGGTAACCTACATGGCTCTTCACTTGGTGGATGACTTCTACTTAAATTACTGCCCTCTGGGACAGTCCTCCTGGGTGCTGACCCTCCATGGGTTGCTTCTGTGACACTTTCAGACAAAGGATCTCTGAAAGACTTTCCTGAATCCACTTTATTGGGCTGCTTGAGCTCACCGCCTGAGGTCTCAGCACCTACACATTTATCGGCGTGTCCAGACTCAGGCTCTGCTTGCGCAGCAGTGCAAGTGTTCTCTAAGACATTCGAAGGCAATGGCTCTGTGATTTCAGTCTCTGGCTGCAAGGTGCTACATCCAGCTTCTTGCAGGTCACTGGCATGGGCGTCTGCCTCTAAACTAGGTCCTTCAGGTGAAGGCAGAGGACTCCTAATAGTCCCATCAGCATGGTTGATGATTCCATCACCCAACGTCGTCTGCGAAGTGCGGGCAGGTGTCAGGAGTGGGATCTGTCCTCTCACCCGAGGTCTGTGGAAGAGTCTGTTCCAGAGTCGGCCAAGGCGCCGCCGAGACGAGCTTCGTCGTGATGAGTGACGTCTCATCTGCCTCCTCATGGCTGTTCGGATGTTCTGCAGCACAGAGGCCTGTCACACAGAGATAATCGATTTAGCACACACTCAAAAGACTTCTCCCATAGCTCACATTCACTCAGATCTCCATTTTAAGAGAATTCTCCTCATTAAATTGGCATTTTCTAACGAACTATTAAGAATGTCAAAGCTAGCTCTGTCTCTACGAAAACATTCTCCATTAAAATGTTTCCTTAATGAGTTCAATTTCTTCTTGTTTGCCCAGCAAGATGCTCCACACTTGCTATCAGATTACCACCAAAGAACAGGCTACAGACCACCAAGTCCTCTGTCATCAGCAATAGCAGAGGATCCTCAAAACCTGGTAACGGTGGAGAAAAGCAAATATATAGTACTGCTGCACCTGATAACAAGCTCTGAGTGTTTTATCACACTTGGAACTGCATCAAAGTGGGATAATTTTAACAGTTTGAGAGAGATTCTTGAAAACTCAACAGTAAAATATCAATATGACTTAATGGCTTCCCAGCGTAATGTATTTGTAAATAAAAATTAATTCTAGAGTTTCCCAAAAATACTGCTAGAGACCTAGTTTCTTATCACTCAGACATTTACAGTTTCAGCTTGGAAAACTCTTTTTTTTTTAAAAAAACTTACTTTATCTCTGTTCACTCTGTCTTGACATACAGCAAAACAGCATGTGTTTTTCTCACTGCTGTTCCCTAGCAAACATATTTAATGTGTTCAAAACTATCCACAGCACCAAGATACATGACTATGATTCTACAGCTAAAAGTAAAACATACATATTTCAGTAAGAGCATTTCCATACAGTTAGCACAGCTTCTCTGCTACTGATAGAACACAGTTCCAGATCAGTTCTAACTTATAGCAGTCTGGATGTTACTAGGTTCATCAGCACTCATGTCACCATACTTGTGATGCATTGTACACAGGAAAGTCTTCGACCGGGGGGATCAGTCCTTGTGCAATCAGCTGCCCATAGGAAGGTGGAGCTTCCCGACGCACAAATTCTGCCTCAAGTCTTGTCATCTGGGTCTCAAATGCTCTGGGAACAGAACCACAGTGGAAAAAAAAAAACAGAAGAGAAATTACAGTCAGTTTGTCTAGCCTCCTCTCACGTTAACGCACAGACATGGTGCTGAGGGCTTCAAACTAGCAGCAAAAAGGCAAATCTTTACTAGGGCTCTGTAAAAAACCTTATCAGGATGCTAAAATTAATAAAAGGAACAATAGTAACAGTGAATCAAATCAGCAAACCCAGTCTGAGTTTGGACTCTGTAGTAACTGAACATTTTCCAAAAGGCCAACTTACGCCAATAAAGGCATTAATTTGTTCTGTTTATTTTTGGAAAATACAGCATGAAGCACTGCAACAATCACACATCATGGGCAGGCTTGGTGCATATGACAAGAGACAGGCACCAGGAAGTCCCTTCTGACTCTCTCCAAAAGGGCACAACCACAGTTGCACAGACATACAAAGCAAAGGAAATTTCTCAAAATAGTTTTGATATTTGTTAGATTCAGGTCTGCCAGGCCACACAAGAGAAGTGTATTTTCCACAGATCATAGAACAGCTGACATTTCCTCTACTTCTGAAAATCTCAACTACTCTTCTCTAAGCCTAATGCAGTGAGTACTACTTAACAAATTTTACAGTATTTTCTGAATTCTTTGGTTAACAATTTACTTTTTTTCCTCCTTTAAACTACGAAATACGCAGTCAGTTATTAAAGAATTATAAAAGCAATATGTTTTTATGTACCTGTATTCTCTAGTCCTCAGAGAATATAATTTAAATGCACACCCCAGTGCTATCACCAGCAGCAGGCCACACACGAGACTCCCGATCAGAGCAGCCGTGATGACCTTCCTGGGAACAATCACCAGGCAGTTGTGTTCATCACTTCCATCTTGGCAGTCTTCTTGACCATCACAGCGCCAAGTCTCAAAGATACACAGATTTGTGCCACAATGGAAATTCCCTGGCTGGCAAGTAAAGCAGTTTTTTTCATCTGAGCCATCTGGGCAGTTCTTTTGGTTATTACAGCGGTCAAGTATCGAGTAGCAAAGCCCACTATTTCCTTCACATGGATATTCATTCTTCTGGCAAGCTGGACAGTTCTCCTCATCCTTGCCATTTGGACAGTGCCACCAGCCATCACAATGTTGCTTATCCGTGAAACACTCCTCATCACTTCCACAGGGGTGTTCCCAAGGAAGACAATAGCCTTTCACCTGGTAGGTTGCATTGAATCCATGGCCAGTGCTCTTTGAGCGAGCATGATATGAGACTGTGAGCTGGCCCTTTGATGACTCCACGCTCACTGGATGCCTATTGTTGTGAAAGGAAAATGTTTGCAGTAATTTATCGCCTCTCTCTTCAATGCCATCATATACCTTTACGTAGTCATTGTAGCCTAACTGCAAATCAAGCTGCAACAGAACATGTCGATTATCTTGTGTATCCACGTACCACGTGCAACGAAGGTCAGATTTGCTGTGATCAGCACGGAATAAGTCTGGGGAAGCAAAAGATCCGTAAAAATTACCCAGCTTTTTGCCACAGGAAAGATCAGGACAATTATCTTCATCTGAACCATCACTGCAGTCTTTCACTGAATTACACCTCAGCTCGTTCATCAAGCACTTGGTGGAGCGGGCTACACTGCACTGGAATGTTCCTGAGGGACAGATGCTGGACGGAGGCTCTGTTGGAGGGACAGTGCAGTTTCTCTCATCTGAGTTATCCCCACACTCATCCATGGAGTTACATTTCCAAGTACTGGGAATACACTTTCCATTTGTACAATGGAATTCATCTGACTGGCATGCAGCCTGACCGATCTTTCCTGTGAAAGAGGACAAGCAGAAAAAGTCAGTATCAAAACTTTTGTAACCATCCAATGTCACATTTTGACATCTACCCTCTCTGCATGGTCACAAGCCAATAGGTCAGGCCAGTAGAAAATCAGTAAGAAACCAACTGGAAAAAGTATCAGTGTTACCATGCAAACACTTTAATAACCAAGACTGGCCCAAAACTCTCATCAACAAATAATACTCCTGCCTTTAAGTTTTACTAGAGAGTTTAAGCAAAGCCAACAAAATTGCAAGGTTTTACCTCTAATATAAGAAAGGCG